GGTTGTAAGCAGATGAAGAGAATCCGACGAAGTAAATGATGGCCTTATATTATTCTACACAAACATTTATTTTTTCCTCGCTTAGAATCATAAAAGGGAATAAATGTATTAAGAAAGCACAACGATTTGACTTGACTCCAGGGAGTAATTAATGTTATGCGTCTAGTCCTTGGAGTTGTTGCCGACTCAACTCAATCTCTTCCTTCATCCTACCATATTTAGTTTTATATGAATCTGTATGACTAGATGTAGAACAGTGTTCAGGAGTTTCTCTATATCTTTTACTTTAGTAAGGTTTACTAGTCTACATATCACTAAATTCTTGTGCTTCTCTAACATAGCTGAACCTGGCCCACTAATATGACTTGGGTATTTTACCCTCTTGTGTGCTGTGTATAATAAATAAACTAATATGGTGTTATATCTTACTACATTGTCCTATATAGTTTCTGATATATTTATTAGGTTAGCTATCAGATAATAAATATTAAGTAATTACATAACGACGACAACAGCTAGAAGTTGAAATTTAAGATATACGTAGCGTTATCGAACAAAGGAGGAACCTCTGATACTTTACGTAGAATTATTAATGAGACAGGAATAAAAGTGGCATTTAAACTCACAGTCTCATTTAGAGATGAATTGTTGGTTAAAGGATCCTGCGGAAAGCATTAGACAACATAATGTGGTTTGTATAATACCATGTAGTGAATGTGGGATCAAACACGTAAGTTAGAGTAATGAGCCAAGCTCATTTCGATTAGTGGAACGCAAAAAATCAGACATATCTGGATTAGTAGATCCTAGTAACATAAGAGCGCCGGTGGTTCAGTGGTAGGACACTGACCAACCAAGCTAAGTGGTTTGGGGTTCGATCCCAGGGAAGGCTAGCAATCCCACCAGTACTGAGACTTCGAAGTTCTAGCTCGAAGCCCAATGTTCCACTTGGAACTCAAAGTAATAAAATAAATAAATAATAATAAAGTAACATAAGGGGTCTACAGAAATGCTTGGCGATAACACAGCCTAGTCACAAACATTCCGAAAATCAGATGGAATAAAGTAACAGTCATAAAATGCAGTATAGTGAGGTGGAGGGAGACACCAATAATAAGAGCTCTGTTTTTCTTGTATCATGGAGGGTTCTAGTAGATAAATGCCTAGGTACCCATTTTGTATTCTTATTCAGATAAATATCCAAGGTAAACTGTAACAAAATGAATGAAGAAAGTTTATTTTAAGAAAATCTCTTGTTTTCATTGGAATGCTATCAGTAAACGGTGACAAAATTACCTTGCTGATAGTGACGCCAATCTCAATGCATTTTATGCCACGTTGCATAAACAATGTCTGACAAAAGGTATTCGACTAGTCTATAGGTCAAAATATTATAACCAACGTTTTTTTTAAGAAGTATGTCTTATATTTTTATTAATTCTTGTTAGAAAACTGACTTTGTCAAACACCTAGTCTTTCTATTTCTTTGTTTTACGTTTGTGTATATAAATAAACTGCATATTTCTTCTCTTATAATAGGCATATCTCATAGTATTATGAAATATTGTATGATTACATGAAAGTGGTTACTTATCTTTAGACGATCTTAGGAAATGAGTCGGAATACTATTTGGTTTGTGACAGGAAGAACTACACATTTTCTGAGTAGCTTTCTCAGATGGCATTACTACTACTAACAATAATTATACTTCAGGTTTAACCACGGACTGATATGGTTTAGAGAATCACTGAAAAAAACTTGAAAGAAATCAAATCCCTACAAACAAGCTCTTGAAAATTAATCTGATGCTCACTAGTGACTGGCTGCAGGGCGAAGTTGACTAGAGTTCTGCTGAGAAGTCGTGACCCGTTGGGTCCAACAACCCTTCGAGAGTGAGAAATGATACTTGCCGAGGACATTGGCTGGTGCCGGTAGCGCTAAAATCATCGAATGGTTGAAGTTACAATTCATGGGCTGGCTGCTGAGTCAGTTTCATTGGCTGAATGGTATACTAGCTTTCCATGTAACCGGAAGGTCGTGGGTCCGAACCCCGTTGGTGAGTACGTGCTGTCGATGAGTCCCAGACTAGGACGAAACATGTGTCCAGTACTTCTTGCTGGTTTTCAATAGTTCTCTTTTCAATAGTTCTCTCTCTCTTGAAAAATAATAACGTTGACTAGTTTATTGTGAAGAATATAATTATAAACAGTACAGAACTTTCATATTATTTCCTCATGCAAAATATTTAATCCTTGTACAGGAACCTCAAGCCAAATAATAATCGATAATATATCTTTTGATGCATGGCAATTCCTTTCGAAGCATGATCCAAACCTTCACGATATTTTTACTTTATTTCTTTAGAAAAAGACAGGACTTCAAGGGAACACAGAGAAGACAGAGGTGATGCAGGTAATTAACCAACAAAAAATAAGCACTAATCACTATCAACAGAAGAAATTACGAGGAGTTTATTACCCTCTATCACTTATCTATGCAGCATTGTTTTAACAACAGGCAACAGATGAGAATGTCAAAGGCAGGATTGGAAAAGCTAGACAAATAATCATTACTCTGAAATGAGTGTGGGAATCTACTGCACTCAGCCTAAAGAACGAGAAGCAGATTTCCAACACTCATGTCAAGTAAGTTCTTCTGTATGTTTCATAGATTTAGCGTGTCACTAGAAGCATTTTCTTCTTACTACAGACTTTTATCAACAGTTGCCTTCTTTGGCTGCATAGTGAGTATCAGATAGTCGGGCAGAAAGGATAGATGCAAAGGAACTCTGCAGTGGAGCGAACCAATCCAAAACCTACAGCTCAGCCAGCAGATATGCCGGAGGAAATAAGGATGGATCAGACAAACATTGAGGGGATCGCTGAGTGACAAAAAACACCAGGCGGAACCTCCATCAGAATGTGAGACAACGAGTCAGGTGTTGGTTCGCGGTTGACATAGAGGAGATAGTGCAAAGAGGAAATAAGAGCTCATGGCCAATCGTGGTGCTAGCTAAAACAGACTGCAGTGAACAGGATGTAACGAAGATGTGCTACTGAAGCCCCATGTTCCACTTGGAACCTAAGGGAATTATAACACTCCTTAGATTAGATTGAAATTCATCTCAAAATGTGTGGAAATATAGGCTGTGTGTGGTTCAGTGACGTAACTGGATAATTAAGACAACAACATGAGATGAAGTGGGTAGCACAGTTATTATTTAAGTAGTCCACCAATATCACTGTTTACTGTTCTGTCTGTGACAGTAATCTACTGACCGCTTTCCTTACATTTTATTGTGTTATACATTTAGTATACTATTCATTATTAATAAAAAGGTTTAGTTAGAACTAAGTAGCAGGTACAATAACGCTGCAGGTTTTCGATACACATCAGTGATCCGGCACATATTCATAGAATACAGATACATACATACATACACATGTATAAAAGCATGCACATAAATATTTACGATTGTTATCAGCAGGAATTGTCAAATGTATGAAAACAGTATCCCGGAAACTCAAGGTAAATAACCTATACGTGTTTCTGTTTTGCGGAATAATAGTTAGTAGCAACGCGGATAGCTCCTTTCCAACTTAAAACCAACATTCCTATTTCGGGATGTTTGTGGTTAGACTTGCTTGATACATATTCTAACAACTTTGATTGATGAAGATAGGCAACCTCAAAAAATCAATCATTCTCTGACATCAGTGTTTTCTCTTGAGTAATTCAGTATGAAAAATAATATTAAGACACTAATTGAGAACAATCTACTTTTTTCATATCTTCGAATTTCGGAAAATGTCCCGTAATATCAAATAAGTTACCTAATCATTGATATAAGAATAAAACTTGTGCGCTGTGGTAGAGTGTAAGTCCATTATGGGTAAATTTTGTTTTGACAAAGTCTAGCAGTGTTATACAGTAATATTTACTGATGACGTTTCGAGCACAATTTATTGCTCATATTCATATCAAGGTAATCATACGACTTCCTAAATTCATTTCTATAGTTCCATTGTTTTTCATTTGATTTGATTGGTAGTAATATTTTCCATATTTCGAGAATGAGTGATGAATCATTCCTATTGCATGTGTCGGGTGTAGATTCGATGAACAAGGATTCAGTAATCAACCTCTCTCTCAAGGGTAGTCACATTGTCAGAACATAAGAATTTAGCTAAGGTAAGAATGGTTGACCCAGAGAAGATAAGTAATTTAGAAAAAAGCTCAGCAATTGCAATGCATGCATTAACACACAACCACACAATAGGGTGGGAGAGGGTCGAAATTCTAAAAAGTAATCTAGGTAGGTGGAGAGAGAGGTTGATTACTGAATCCTTGTTCATCGAATCTACACCCAACACAAGCAATAGGAATGAATCATCACTCATACCCGAAATATGGAAAATATTACTACCAATCAAATCAAATGAAAATCAAGTGAAGAGTCTTCACCTGACTGAGGAAATGTAGGACCTTCCATTTACAGGGCCAGTACACTGTCACTCACTTACTAGGCTGAAATACAATAAACCATGAATTGTAACTTTTAAAGTCACCACTTGTAAACCAACCCATTGTTCATTATTGTCTGATTATGGGATGAACTGTCTGAAGCTTAAATGAGAAGTTATAAGCAGTTGGGCTGACAAAGTGGAAGGTGGAACTGCATTCTAATCCAATAAGTGAATGGTAACATGATCTTCTCGTAGCCTAAAGGCACTGCATTCAACTTCAGGTGGGATGGTGGTTAAAAGTACCGCTATACAGTACAATTTGGTTTTCATTGGTTTCCTAACTCCTATTGGTTCGTAATAAAATCTGTCAAGAGGTTAGACTCAGTAATGAGAAAGTAATGCCTTCATCTGTATTCTAGAAAATCTATCAACTAAACTGTGAGTAAAGATTGTTTCGATGATTCAAGATATCATTTAAAAATTCACTTCTAGAAGGGTAAAAAGACAACACAGTCAGATTATTCAAAACTTACTTTATCATCATCACCATCATCAATATCATGATCTTCATCACTGTTAAATAGATTCGTTGTATTCCTTTTAACAAATATATGAGATAATTCACTATCTTCTATAATTAACTGTGATGATGGAACTATTATCATATTGTCATTATCTATTCGATTTTTACGTAATATTTTAACTACAACCTAGAAAGTAAAACAAAATAAAATGGAATCAAACAAGAACAACAATAAAAAAACTACTCTGCGTTATTAAAACATTGTTCCTTTTTTGAGTTTTTTTCCTTTACCAGAACAAAACACAAAAGAGAATTGAATTTTTGCGGGTTGAACTACGGACTGATATCAGTTAGAGAACCACTGAAAACCTGCAAGGGTACTGGACAGTTGTTTTATCCTAGTTTGGGAATGATTGACAGTATGTACCCACCAACGGGGTTCGGTTGACCCACAACCTTCCGGTTACATGGAAACCTCGTATACCATTCAGTCCCTGGTACCCGATTCAATGGTCCATGAATTCAGCTTCCGCCAATTCGTGATATATATATTTATATATTACAGGTGAGTTCTGGGTTCGAACCCAACTGGGTGAGTACTTCCGATGATTCCCAAACTAGGATGAAACAGCTGTCCAGGACTCCTTAGTGGTTTTCAATGGTTCTCTAACTGATATCAATCCGTGGTCTAACTCAAAAAAACCAATCTAATCTTTACAAATCAACTCTTGGAAAATAACCGAATTTATTCATTTCATACATTAAATTGTTACTTTTCAGACGGTGTTTTTCGAAACCAAGGGTGAGGAGGTAAAACTTCAGTTTCTTTATTTTATTGTGTGTGCACTTGGTATAGACAGTTTATTAGAGAAATATGAACAATTCATATGACAGACACAAGTAGTTAAAAAAGATTTAGCAGAATTCTAGTCATTCTGGTGAGACAAGCATATATCATATTTTTGAGAGGTAAAAAAGAAGCTGTCTTAAGAAGATATGCAAAAAGAAAAAAAAGTTTATCAAGTATATTTTAAATTAAATAAAACAGTTTTGTTTAAATAAATAAATAAATCATATTGTTTGCCGATTGTTTTGTTTTGTTGTTTTTTTTAAATTAAGAAAATTGTATTTAGGCACGTGAAATTTATGCACATGCAAATATATTTATTTATCAAAATGAGTAGATTTATCTTGTGTGTAATTATAAAACTTTATATTTCAAATAGTTTACATTTCTAACGAAGCTTATTCATACATTCAGTTTACTTTGGGAACAATGATAGAGACCTGAAACCATAACACCAATAAATTTGTGTTGCTTTATCCAAACTGATAGACCCAAGGAAACTGATTTTAACTGGCTTCAAACATAACGGGGAGTGAAAGCTGTTGAAGTGCATGCCGAATAAAAGATTCCACAACATCCATGAACAGCGATAGGCGTCGAAAGCAAAAAGGATGTGAAAAGCATGAATAGTAGGTAATACTGGACAAGTATTGAGACTCGTTAGAGAAAAGGGCTGTAAATATCTAGGGGTAAGTGAAACGAACTCTGAGAAGGATTGATAGACGACTGGGACTTTGGAAAACATACCTTGAGAAGCGACTCAACCCGCCTTCAACAGCGCTAAAATTGTTTAAAATTCAACCCTGACCTGTGTGAGATGCAGACATCAGTTCCCTAACTGTACATTTAGTCGCGAAAGGTGTTTCCAATTTAAAAAGAGTTAAATCAGTGAGATCTGATGGTATGACTCCAGAAACGTTTAAAGATGGTGTTACTGAACTATTGTCTGGGTTAACTAAAGTATTAGGTAATGCGTAGGAAACTAGGGTAGTCCATCATGACTAGTGTGAATAACTGATTATTTCGGTTTATCAGAAAAAGAGACGGACAAGTCTTCTTGTGATAATCATAAGAGAATTATTTTGACTGACATAGTGCCTAAAATTCTAGGTTTCATAATCTTGCATAGACTAAACTGTGTTCGGGAGAAACAAACGCGTGAACTCCAGGCAAGCTTTAGACTCAGACGAGGGTGTATTGGTTATATATTCACGCCTCGAAAGATTCTCAATCATGTATGTACTTAGTGGTACCCAACACTTTCCACGTTTTTGACCTGAAGGCAGCATTAAACTCCGTCAGTCGAGAAGTACTGTAGCAATGTCTTGCCGTGAATAGAGTGCCAGGAAGGTATGCCGCACTCATCAAGCCATTGTACTGTAACTCATGCAGCCGCGTAAGAACTTATAGAGAGCTATCATCTGAAGAAATTACAGCAAGTGGTATCCACCCAATATGTCAGTTTCCATTTAATTTTTTCATTTATGTACTAATGGATGTGACCCTGATCGACTTTGACAATTAAGCGATTGAGTTGTTACCAGACTGCCGTTTTATCAATTTAGAACATGCGCATGATGTAGTCTTTCCTGGTGAAAAATCCAACAAAATACAGAGTTTTCTGGACACCTTGAGTTGAAATCTTGGTATGTTTGGCATGCGCTTCGTCCCTGCTAAATGTGAGATGATGCTGAAGGGTTGGCTATTCGATTAAAGACAAGCCTGTTTAACAACTTCCCTTACCTCGGTACCTGCACTAATCTTAGTGGACTGATTGCTGACAAAATCTCAGCTTAGATACAAAAATTCGTATGACATTCGCCAACTTGATTATCTTTGGCCTAGACGTGATATCTGGTCATCAGTCATTGGATGTGTGTATTGCACAGCCTTCTGATTCGTCTTTCTTAACGGCTTCTTTCATTTTTCGGATTCTGAAAATCCTCTCTAGTGTCTACGTAGTTGTTCTTTATTCTATACATTTCTCTTTATTGTGATTTCATGTATGCTTTTATGAAGTGTGGTACCTTAAATTTATCTACATTTCTCCTCAGTCCTACGTTCAGAGTTCATTTTAGTTCAAATATTAACCTGTTACGTTTAATTGCAATGACCAATAATTTTTAATGTTAAACGACCATTTTATCTTGGTTAAACTAGAAAATATTTCTTGGTTTAAAAACAGACAAAAACTAATGTTGATTGTCTCTTATTAATTTTCTTCAGTGGCAATTTGTCCTTTTCTTCCTATATTTTGTCTTCTTTTCTTTCTTATAACTGTCTGAGTATATTAAAACTAGCGAACTTTTAAACAAAGTAAAGCATAACTATGCAATTTTTGGCGGAAAATGTCAAAGAGATAAATGGAGTAAACTATTTCCAGTGTTTCGTATGCTGAAACTAATCTTGTAGTTTGTGAACAGACCTATGAACGCATTGCAAGAAATTGGTGAATACTATCTTATCGGACTCCGAAAATCTCTAGACACAACTCTCCCCTTGCATATCGCCAAATAGGAGTAGCAGTGATTATAGAAGACTATACATGGATGACTAAATACAAAATATCAACGAAACCTCACTTTTCAGGCATTTTATGTGGTGAGAAAAGTGTTACGTTACAGAACTGATCACGAGCTGACATCAGTCATTGAAAAGCCTGGCAGTAGTGGACATCTGTTTCGCTCTACTTTGGGACTCCTCATCAGTATGCACTAACTGGGCAAGGGGCAGTTACTCGTCTGTAACACTGGCTGAAGGTTGATCTCTCTCTCTCTCTCTCTATATATATATATAAATCACGAATTGGTGGAAGTTAGATTCATGGACCGTTTGATTGGGTCCCATTGGCTAAATTATCTACGGCGTCTCCTCATAACCCGAAGGTTGTGGGTTCGAACCCCAGTAAATGTATACTGACGAAGAGCCCCAAGCTTGGGCGAAACAGATGTCCATTACTCCCAGGTTTTCCAGTGGTTCTGTAACTCATGTCAACTCGTTATCAATCTTGTAACCAGTCAAATCCCTGCAAAAGTGTTAGGTATCAAACTAAAGCAAGGAAACGACACTTTTATTGTTTCTATCATTAGACATATCATTATCATTATTTCTGTTTAATTTGAATTTACATTTTAAGTGACAGTTAATTATTGGTGTAAGTGACCTGTTAATTAGTTTCTTTCCTTATTATGAGTTTTAAATTGAAAACTGGATGCAATATTGTATTATATGCTAAGAATGCCACACTGTATGAAAAATGTTGTTGGTTTAGTTGCTTTACTAGGCAATGAAAGCCTCGCAGCTAAGCCATCCAGCTCATTGAATACAACTAACTAAATCCACCTGAGATACAAGTCTTCTCCACTATAAAGCTTTTTATTCGTTTGTTTTCAGAGGCTTTCAGTTCACTAAATAACAGACTTGACACTTTTTTAAAAATTCTGATGTCAATATACAATATCTTACATTAAAAGTTTAGTTCATTTCATTTCGTTACTAATTACTTATCGTCATTGAAGGAAGAGTATTATATAAAAAATGTTTAAAAAATGCCTAATAATCTACCACTGAAAAGTGATTCCACAATTCACTTTTCAAGAGTTTGTTTGCAGCCATTTGATTTGTTTCAAGTTTTGACCAAGGATTGATTTCAGTTAGAGAACGGTTTAAGACCAGCAAGGAGTACTGGACAGCTGTTTCACCCTAGTTTGACACTCATCGGCAGTACGTATCAAGGACCTTCCAGTTACAAGGCAAGCTAGTAAATCATTCAACCACTGGGACCCGACTCACTGCCAGCCCATGAATTATAATTTTTACCACTTCGTGATTTTCGCGTGACTGGCACCAGCCAGTGTCTTCGGTGAGTATTTTTGTCCTCACTTCCGACGTGTTGGTGGACCCAACTGGTCACGATTTCTCATAGCTGTTCAGTACTCCCTACTGGTTTTCACTGGTTGTCTAACTGTTATCAATCCGTGATCAGTTTAAATTTAAGTGTTGGTTTGTAGGGATTTGATTGGTTACAGGATTTCACCATGAGCTGATATTAGTTAGAGAGCCATTGGAAAACCTGGGAGTGCTGGGCAGTTGTTTCGTCAGCCTAGTTTGGGACTCTTCATCAGTAATCACCCACCTCCACGGTTCGGACCCAGGACCTTCTAGTTACAAGGTGAGCTCGTATACCATTCAACCACTGGGACCCGATCCAATGGCCAACGCATGAATTCCACCTTCTGCCAATTCACGACATAGTGCGACCCCTAGCCAATGTCCCAAAGTAGGACGAAACAGCTGTCCAGTACTGCCAGGTTTTCCAATGGCTCTCTAACTAATGTCAG